AAGGATTTTTTGCACTATGTGCTGTGGGATATTGAGGTTTAGGTCAAATCTAAAGAGAAATTCATGAAATGTAACCAAAACATGTGAAGAGATTGAGACATGGCTGTTTTGTTTAACAAACACACAATTTTCAATTAAAAATGCATGTTTTAGATCATATACAATTCATTGATTTTATGGTTGAATTATTAAATTAACTGTCAATACTCAGGCACTTCATTCTTAATTATAGCTTTAATTAAATCTTTACAGAAAAATCATTTTAATTTGTGTGTGGTAAAGCTAACATATTTTACAAGAAATGAAATTACAGGAAAGCACATTTCTTGAGGGAAATAAGGCAGAAGTTCTCAAGTAGAAGATGCACTATTGTGTATCAATTAATTACAAGAAAAAACAACAATTCACAGAAATTTTGCCACAAGATAATTTCTTGGGGATTTAATCTTTATCAGGTATCAGGGTTATTCTGTGAAGTTTTACAATGCAGGTAATTAAATAGCATTTTCTGTGATGAAAATTGGTTGAAGATATCAAATGTTATCATTTTTATAGCAAATTAAAAAGAAAGTAATATGTGAAAATGTACAGGAAGAAAATTAATGTAATTGCATATTTACTTCATCAAACATGTTTAAGAATTGCCATTTATATAGAGAACTTTTTATGTGAGCAGAGGTCATTACGTAAATAGTCAATACATATTTTCAATAAACTTGTTTATGGTAAAGCAAAGAAATATTTTATTTGAGGATAACAAACAATTAAGTTAGCAACAAACAGCCAGCACATGCTGTTTCCATTTTTTCTTGCTTGGCTTTGAAGTACCTAACACTTTCAATGGAGAAATTGTGCTGCTACTTTATCTGTTTTTCATGGCCGAATAAGAAACATATTTCACTAAGGCAAATACATACAGCAAGGTGCAAACAACAACATTTTGCTATATGGTTAGCTTTTCTTTAACATCAAGCAAATTTAATACCCCTGGCAGTATAATGAACCAACAACAAAGGGTGGCCAATGTTTCAAAAGTTGGACACATCTTTACCAAAGAGTCACAAAGGTGTCTATAATAGTTCCTGTTTGACCCAGCATTAACATTCTTGCTCACGAAATACCTTAAACTTTCCTATCCCCACCACAGTCTCAGATCACGATTTTTATCATTAAAATATTAAGTTTCATTTTCCTGAACAAATGCAAGCTTTATAAGATTTAATATTGCTACAAAATGTATATGTGTTACTGTATAATATGCAGTAAGCCAGACATGTCAATATATATTCAATTTCATACAATTTTGTTTATTTAAGATCTCCCACTGTTAGAGATATGATAATTAGATCAAACTATGATTTCTATATCTGAATGCTGCAGAATAATTCAATACTGCAATTATATTTATTGTATGCTATATTTTTCAACCCTCAACAGGTGTCCCTATGTTTCGAATCTTTGAAAATGATGAAATTTTGGAAAATGTTAGGCGTAAAGTTTGTAAAGTAAAAGAAAGGAAAAAATTCTGTAAAAATCATTTTAAAATTATTTGATCACCTGTCTAACTATTTTTGAAGGGAAGTCTTAATTATTTCTTATAAGTGAGCTAGTACAGACAAGCAGGTTTAATCCCTAATTGTCAGTTTGAAAATAATCTGAAATGCTGCATCAGTATCCAACTTTTATCTCAAATTTGCCATAGTAGTTCACATAATACCTTAAGGGTCAAATCAATCCTTATTTGATGATGAACACATTAAGGGACATAACTGCTCAAATGTAGAATTAGACATTGCCATGTCATTGAATGTAAAACAATACTTAAAGACCAAAACATGGGGTCCAGACAATAGCTTTAAACTTTCTTACAGTAAAAAATGGAGCCAGACAAACATAGATAGCAACATGTTGCACCAGTAGTCTAACTCTTGCAAGTTGCATGGGTTCAAACCCTGTCAGCAGCAAGCCATTGTTTTCTTTGTGCAAGAAACTTTACATTCATTTCTCAGTACTGGTTGGTTCAAGGAACAGATTCAAGGGTGTGTCTATAAGTTTATAGTTTCCTGCGCAATCAAACTAAAATAAATTCTTAAATAAACTCTATAAACTGTATAAACTAAACAAAAATAGCTCTCTACTGATTGGTAATTAACACTTTAAAAAGAGAAATAAATTTCTGTGTTCTATTTTTTGCATCTTAAATCATGTGCCTGTCTACTGCTAAGCTATAAATTCTACCAAGTTTAATCTACAAAATTATGAAAAATACTGTCTACATAAATATACACAGGTGTTCTAAATATGAAGCATAAATCTTGTGCATTGTGTTCATAAAAACAAAATTCAGCCAAGAAATTCTAAGTTGATCACATTTATAACTGAAACAGTATAGCCATACACTATTTTTTGTCTCAACAAAAGCATGCATAGAAAACCTGACTTATGAATTTCCACTGGGAATGACATGTTACGAATATGAAGAAAAAAAATAAAAAAAAGTTTTCACACACACGTTTTAGTATGAAAACATTCTCTATTTTTTTTTCTCTCTTTTAACTTGTCACTTTTTTGTTTCTATGTGAGATGAAGAAAAGGAATCTTTCAATCTTTTGTTGTAATTTTTGTTGTAAATGTTTTGAGTAAAATTCAGTTTTAAGAAACGAATATTTCAATCTTTTGTTGTAATTTTTTTCCAGTAAAATTCAAACTGAATACATTTTACAGGAAACACAAGATTTATTATTATACAGCTTATATTATCATCATAACAGCTGTGCTCATGTACATGCTACATACAGGTAGTGTGTTTCAAATCAAATCTTTCACTTTTTACCCTTATAAAATGAATGTCAAGCATAGAAGGACACTGACCTACTTTTCTAGTATTTCTCATTTTAACATCTTGCCTAATTTTTTATTTGTTTTATTACTTCAATTCATTGCTTACAATTATAATTAAATTTGAACTAAAATCTTCTTCTAATTTTTTTCTTCTTTTTTGCAAAACATCTCTTTCAATGGCAAGCATGGGAACGGAACAAAATGTTGCAAAGAAATTACGCGAAAAAAATAAGTTACCAACAGCATTTTCAAACTTTTTTTTAGAAATTTAAAAATTAAATAATCTCATTTCCAGAAATTGATTACATATTTTTTCTTCATGCCCTGTTCTCAAATTCTTCATGTTTTAAAGTTTTTTTTACCATATTGATTAAAAAGAAAAACAAGTGCCAAATCCCAGATTCCAACAGTTAGCCAGGGAAATGTTCAATTCAGCATGTGACTACTCTACAATAGCCAACTAGGAGTCTATTACGCTGATTATCAATAAGTTAAAAACAATCTTCTATTTAAACAAAGCAAGAGACTAAGTACAACAGCAAATTAAAGAACATTTCTGTTCCACATGTGTCATTTTTATTTCATTTCAGTTTTCAAATACAAAAAAAAATTTGCACTTTATTTTTTTAGAAAATTCTTGGTATTTAATGGTATGTTTTAGCATCTGGACACAAAGAAGTCATACAACACAGGGGGGGTGGGGGGGGGGTAAATATGTTAATACAGACAGAAGACAAAAATATCTAATATCAATCTATTGTGATGAAGTGTGAAGTGATGAAGCATATTTGAAATTATTAATAATAAAATTTGATGACCAGAATTTGGGAAATACATTGTAAAAACATAACAAAACGAGCAATGTCCTTTAAATCCATGCGACTCCTATTCTTATACATTGAATTAGCTAAAAACAAGGATCATTACTCTTTATCAAAGAATAATAACACCTAAATGATATGTTCAAGATAGGGTTAACCATTTCTATATTTAGAACAAAAAGGACTAACAGTAAATGTTGATATTAAAATATCACTCCTTTAAAAGGCTTGTGGAGTAAAATTGAAAACCAATTTCATTCACAGATAAAAACTCTTATTGAATGTGAAGTTAGCACTTTCACACAGCAAAACATGATCAGTTTTAATTAAGAAAAAAGAAATTCTCTGTGATTCCAACTGCATTGAATATAAAAAAAAATCTTCAACTGCATCTTAATACCCAAATACATATCTCAAGTGATTTTCAAAGTGTTCTATTTTCTATTTTTTTTTTATAATTATACCGGTAATTGACTAAGTCGGAGTATGAATTTATCTTATCAGGCAAAAAAGATTCAAATATCTTTTTTAACAATCATATGGAACAGAAATGAAAGTAAAATAAAAAGCATGATAATTATGAGCCGTGTCATGACAAAACCAAACAAGAGCGATCAGTAATCACATGTGTCGCCTCATGATAGCCAATTTCATGTTGGGACAAATTTTGTGACAGACGGACAGACAGACGGACAGTGCACAACTAGACTTGGTACTGATCATTCCTGTAAAGTTTGGATAAATTTGCACCAGTAGTTTATGAGGAGTAGTCCGGACAAGCTTTTGCAGATACTGGCAACACACAGAAAAAAACACCTTTTTATCAAAGGGCCATAACTCGGCCAAAAGTCATTCAACCGGAAAACCCGTGCAATATGTGCAAGGACTTGAGCTACAGATCAATCCTGTAAAGTTTCATTGAAATTGCATTAGTGGTATAAGAGAAGTAGTCCGGACAAACTTTAAAATAAAAAATTATTAAAGGGCCATAACTCTGACAAAAATCATTGAACCGGAAAATGCTCACAATATGCACAACTACACTTGGTACTGATCATTCCTGTAAAGTTTGGATGAAATTGCACCAGTAGTTTATGAGGAGTAGTCCGGACAAGTTTTGTGACGGACGGACGGACAGACAGACGACGGAGAAGTGATCCCTATATGTCGCCACTACTCCGTAGAGGGGACACAAAAAGTGCGTTTGCGACCAGCATGGATCCGGACCAGTCTGCGCATCCGCGCAGTCTGATCAGGATCCATGCTGTTCGCTATCAGACTGCGCGGATGTGCAGGTTGGTCTGGATCCATGCTTGTCACAAACCCGTTATGTTGGTTTTGTCATGGCATGGCTCATATATTTTTAACAATCATATGGAACAGAAATGAAAGTAAAATAAAAAGCATGATGTATATATACATGTACCTTTGTGCGAGATTATTACCTTTTATCTTACCTTCATGGAAGTCCATGTGCCGATTAATATCAGAATAGGATACAAACTCTTTAGAACAGAATGGACACTTATATACCGTCCGTCCGTCTGTCAGGGTCGTAGCTTTGCACATGGATTCACGATTGATGGGCGATTGCACTATCCCAAGTCTACAAGAATATAAAAGAAACTGTCTAAACATATATAATTTATGTATTATTCTTATTTTAGCATCTTCTGTTTTATGATTGACTAATGACCCAACTTATAAATTCTTAATGCAAATTGAAATACTGTAACCATTTGTTATACTACTCAGTTAGGGTCTTTGTCTTTTCTAACTAAAATCCATTGAATAACATATCTATAATAATATTGTTGATTTCAAACATTGAAAGGGTCTATACATGCAAGTTTAATAAAAGGAGATGTCAAGTGTGTCTATGTGCACGCTAATTAATTCTATAAAGACATGTACATATTTTATTGTATAAAACAGTATTATATTTCTTTTACACAAACACCCCAAATGTGGCGTCTCTTGACAAAGATGCCTGTTTGGCATATTTATGTCATTTCCTTCATTATTAATCATATCACTTATTATTTATCATATCAATAAAAAATATGACCTAAAACAATCATTTCACTTTACATAAGATCACAAACAAGCATGTTACTTGTACATTAAATAAACAGAAGTCACCATACTATGCATGCTATAACAATACCTAGAATGAGTCCTTGATAACGATGTCACTTTTCTACCATCAGTGTGACCAGTGTCTGGTGGGCTGTACATATTGAATGACCACAGAGGTCCGCCTTTCTCCTGACCCAATGGGAACCTTGGATAACCTAGAAGACTTTCACGCACACCTTCCTTACTGTCTCGGTCTTCCGGGGAGGTATCCGACTTTGATGACGAATGACTGGCAGGCGAGGGTGATTTACTGGTACCAGCACGCGCATCTGGCAATAGTTGTGTGCTAACTGGCAATGACATCATCTGGTTCATTGCCGCTAGACTCGGAGGTAGGTGGTTTGGAGGAAATATCATTGGTTGTGAGGTATTGTTTAAATGATGAGTAAGTGACTGATGGGCTGCCAAAGCTTTGGCCATCAGGAGATGATTTGTGGAACCCAGTGCATACCCTGGCATAATAGCCTCCGGATTACTGGCAGTGATTGGTAGCTGAAGTTCCGGTGATAACCCGTTTGACGCTTCATTGTTGTTTGTATCCTGTGGACTTCTGTCAGATTTTGAGAAATTGAGAGGTAATTCATTGTCTGAGGTTGTGTGGTTTTGATATGATAAATGAACTGGTGTGGATTTCCTTGATGATCGACCTCTAGGTGACAAGTCACGCTTTAGTGGTAGTAGGGATCTTTTAGGGGCTGTCCTAATTTCAACGTCACCCTCTTCAGTATCATGTATTTGGTTGTCTGACAAAGATTCTGACCAGTTATTGTCAGAAGAGTGATTAGAAAAACCTGCGTCTGCAGCATCTGAAATATTGTCGTCTGCAGCAGATGGTGATTGTGGCATAACAATGGTAACATTTTGATTTGGTAGTGCTGAGGTATTTTGATTTCTTGTGGTTTTAAGATTTAAACATTCATCTGTAGCTGTTTTTGGGTAAGTTTTGTGAAGTTTTGGAGGCAGTCTCCATACATTCACAAAGTGCTGTTTGCTTCTCACCCAGGATGATCTAAATTTAGATTTTCCGACAGTTTTCCAATGAATTCGCGATATGTGGACCTGTAGACTGGTGTACTGATTGAATGTTTTGCCGCAGATTTTACAACAATAATTCTTATTCCAGGAATGGAGGCGCATATGCTTATGGTGTGAGATCAAACTATCAAATGTCTTAAAACAAAATCTGCATGAAAATGATCCGTCATCATTGTCCTGGCCATCATAGATAAATGAAGAATCTTTGGTATTACAAAAACCGGAGATATCCGACGTATGATTTCTTCTCATATGTTGCTGCATGTGAGCTTTCTGGGCAAACATCTCATCACAGAAACAACACTGATAATTTATTCCACCCATCTTGTGATTATGAACTGATAAATGATTCTGCATTTTGCTAAGAGATGGTAACATTTCACTGCAGAGATAGCATTTAAATACAGAAGAATTTTCCCCGCGGACTGTATCTAGGCCATCCAATCTAGTGACCAGAATAGTCTCGTTCTGAACACTAAGTTTACTTCGTTTTGCAGGCGTCTCACACTTTCTAGCCATCTCACCATTAACAGCTGAGTGTGCACCTTTAGCCATGAAACTACTGCTCCCTGACTTACTCAAATCTAACGCCATCTTATCATTACCCGTTTGACCATTTTTACCCTGAGATACTGTTTCAGACCCATCTGATCCAATACCCATATTCTGACAATAGGAATCAGTCGATTTCGCATCATCTTCCAAATCATCAAAATCAACATTTTCCCTGTGATAATTTCCTGATTCCGACCCGTATAATTGTGTTAGGCCTGTAAGGTGACCTCTTTGTAGGAGATTCATCTGAGCACGAGTTTTCATGCGGAGGTAGCGTTCTTCTAGTCCCGGACTTAACTCTATGTCCACACCATGTGTAGCTTTCAGATGGTAATGCATGCTACTTTTTGCTCGAAACGGTTTAGTGCAATACTGAAAAATATGGTTGAATGAAATGATTGGAAATTATTATACGCAACTTATTTCAAGTCAAATATATAATTTAACAATTTGTTTAATTGCCTATTTCCACAAAAACTATAATGTCAACAAAATAAACAAATAATATTTATAATAAGACAATAAATATAAATGTTTGTAACTACAAGTTTTAAATGTTAAATATTTACAACTACGCATGTAATTCCAACTTACAATGTACTATTAACCTGTTACCTAATTTATATGACGGATTTGCCCAGTCTTGAATTTGGAACAGTAGGTTAAGATATTTCCGTATAAAATTAAACTGAGCTACAAACAGTCTACAGCCTGGTCAGACAGTATGGATGTGTAGACTGACTTGGCAAAAGCTAACAGTGAAGTATTTCAGTTCCAACAGGTTAAGGGTTAATGAAATAAGAAATACGCAGAAGATTTAAAAGGAGTTGTCAATATTTACAAACTACACATTTTGTTTTTTCCTTCTTCTAAACCTTACCTCACATCTGAATGGTTTCTCTCCTGTATGACACATCATGTGACGTTTTAAATCGCTTGGCTTCGGAAACATCTTTGCACACACAGCGCAAACATGTGGATCTACCATTTCAGACGCTGACGACTTCAGAGCCGCTTCATAGGCTCTCATGTGACTGTCATAACTCGTTTCTTTTACTGGCGTCAAATGTGGCGGCATTGCACTATGATACTGTATTCGCGATGACAAACTCTCATCGCTATACTGTTTACTGGCCATGTCTATTTCTTTGTCAGGGTTAATGTCAGAATGATCAGAGAGTGAATCGTTTGACGTTGGACTTGTAGAGAATGTTGACCTACTATCTTCATCTAGAGGGCGCTTGCGGCTGACTTTACTTTGCTGTGCGATGTTGACATTCCCTTTTGGAATGGCTGAAATTTCGTGAGTAGTGAACAAATGGTGTTGCAGTGCATCTTCTGAGTTGAGATTTTTGTGACATATCTAGAAACAAAAACAGAAAATAAAGTTATTACTAAACATCAGTAGAAATCTTATAGATTTAATGCAAAATGTTGAGGAAAATTTAGCTTAAATTAAAATTTTTGCCAAAATCGTTTGTTAAGAAAGAAGATGAAAATACATCATATATTCTGATGTCATTCAAGAGTATAAAATTTCATTACCCCCTCCCCCCCCTCCCTGTAAATATATGTTAGAACATTTCATTTTGCCTTCCATGTTATGACAAAACAGTGAAATATCCTTGACAGATGGCAAGTTATTTTACTTTACGTTCATGTTTCATTCCTATATAAACAATACCTGTCTGTCCCTCATTTATCAATACTGCTGATAATTAATAGTGCACTGTTAAGCACTTAGTGCTCAATTGATATTTAAAGTAATAGCCTTTTCAATGACAATTGGCCATTCCTGTTTGATTCCATATTCTGCGTGTGTAACTAGACTATTCATCAATGGTTAATGGGATACAAAATCACAGCAGATGACGACCAGAAATAGCATGCATAGATTTAATACATAATAACCTGGGTTTGTCCATTGCCATAACTGAACTTTTGCTTTTATTTATAAACTTTCCGGGATACAGTTTATTTCCGATAAAGTGAAAAACAATCTGGAGTGCTTTATTCAGCAAAAATACATAAACAAGAGAGTCATAATGGTCTATAACTCAATTAACAGAACAAATTTTAAATTCTAGCAAAGCTTTTCTATGAGAACAATAAAGATTTTAATCCATAGACAATTTCTTTAATTTCATTATTTTGGAAGCATCACCCAAACCCTTGGGTATATTAGCTTGTGTTATGCATGAAAATAAGAATTTACATGTGCTGTGGTTGCCAAGAGGCATGATGACTTTGTCTTCAGATGTGTCCCATATATTATCTCAGTTCCCATCTATTACAGTCAACTGTTGGTGAAGTTAATATTGGTAAAAAATGTACTTATTGTAACTTTCCATTAGGAACATGACCAAATATTAGCTATGAAATTTACCCAGCTAAATTCCTACACAAACATTAAGGTCCTGTTCACCTTTTTGAACATCTATAGTTTAGCTGAGAAATTCTTAAATGGAAAATGTCAAGCCAATTTTATAAGGAACTGCCCATTATCAAATTTGGGGATATCTGAAGATGAAAATATGAAGTTAGTTAGCCAACAGTATATAGAGCCTGGTCAGACAGAAAGGATATTCAGGCTGGCCTAGTGACTCTATAGAGGTGGCTAAAGCTTATCATTTTTCAGTTTCGACAAGGTAAGTTTGAGTCAAAAAATCGTTGCCCCTAAAATGTGACAGACATAATTATGGTAGTCATTATTGTCATTTTTTCAAATAATAAAAAAAAAATACAAATGTTCAAAAACTGCACAGATTTTCAAAATTGGTTGGATTAATAGTTTGCTTATACAAGAGCATCCCTGGACTTGAGCTTTGACCTTTTTATTCTATGTACAGTCCAAATTTTGTGATAATCTATTGATATCCATCCATAGGTCAATAAGTTGATAAATTTTTTTTCCTGTTTATTGTCAGCTTGAGGCAATATATAACAAGAGGGCCATGATGGCCCTGAAATCGCTCACCTGTATATAGGCCCTTGGGGCGGGGCCAATTTTAACCCAGGTTTTTTTTTTAACCAACTTGGTAGACACCCATTAGAAGATGTTTCATGATAAATATCTAAGCTCTAGCTCTTTGGGTTTTTTAAAAGAAGATTTTTTAAGTCTTTACTATAGACATATAACGAAAATCCGACCCCCAGGGCGGGCCAATTTAACCCTGGGGTTTTTATTTGAACAAACTTGATAGACACTCACTAGAAGATGTTTCATGCCAAATATCTAAGCTCTAACTGTTTGGGTTTTTAAAAGAAGATTTTTAAAGTTTTTACTATATATATACATATAAGGTAAATCAATAAAGTAAAAGTTTACAGACGGAAGCCGGACAAACGCCAGTTGAAAAGTGATCACAAAAGCTCACCATGTCACTTTGTGACAGGTGAGCTAAAAAGAGGTCAAATAAGTACATTTTCAATTACATGTAGGTCCGAAAAGAGCATCATTGAAGGATGTTACATGCTAAGTTTGAAGTATTTTTTTGATAAGCTGTTATATCAAGGTACTGATGTAGGTCACTAGAGCATCCATTCTATTGAGTATTCTGTTCTAGCTTAGTATTCTAAATAATTTGAAAATTAGGGACTTTTTTCAACATTGGGGGACTTTGTCTACATAATTATAGAAATAAATGAAAAGCCTATGAAAATTTTTGCTGTATTTCAGCATTTGCCAAAAATATATTGGTGCATTAATTTTTTTAACTTCCTTTACCAGAGTACATAAAAAGTTCAATACATCTGAGTCAAGATATAAAACATTAATATTGACCATCATTGGCATGCAGGTTATATTTTGCTCTTTTTATTTCCTTTCAATTGTTGCTTTAGAAGTATATAATTTTATGTGAATATAAAAGAATTTCACATGCATGATTGTAATTTCATGCTGGAACTTTCAAAAATGCGTGAATCTTACAATTGCACATCCTAGAAATTGATAAACCTATTCCAGTATATGTTCCGATGTGCTAATCTGAGCTAATCTGTATTTCCTAAACAATTTGGCATGAAATATATTTCATTTGCCAACATTTATTTATTGTTTATATCTTAAATTTACCTCTCTGCATTTTAACATTTCCAAGATTTCATATAAATTTTACCTTCTAGTCAGAAAAATCTGTTATCATACATAAGACACCAGCCTAAACAATCAAATTATGAAACAAAATTATATAATTATTGGTCTTTATGTATAAATAGACAATAAAGATATAAATAAATAGAGTATTTACTTACAGGACATGAAAAACTATTTTCTATGGACTGTTCATTTAAATGCTGTTCAAGGTGGTCTTTGGTTTTGGTTGAAATGCTGTCTAACTCATGTTTGCCCGCTTGCACCTGATTGACCTCAGTATCATCAATATTTGACCTTTCAAGGTCATTGTCATTCTGAGTGTCCTTAACCTTCACACTAAGGTCTTGAGGTATTAGTTCATCAGAGGTGTGATTTTCAGTCTCATCAAGAATTAAACTATCTTCATCATCATCGTAATCAACAGAACCGTACCCGTTATTATACCCGTAACTATCTTCTTTACTTTCTTCAATAACGCGTAACTTGTATTGTATTTCCTGAGAGGACTGGTCCCCGGATGCTTCTAGTTTTGAGGTAGCTGTCTGGTTCCCATTAGTTTCTTCACCGTCAGCTTTATCATCTGTGAATAAAACACAAACAGTTTAATATAATTAGTATGAATAACACTTGCTGGTAAAATACAAACAAAAATCAATATAAAAACACTAAATTCCTGTACCCTGAAAACCAACAGTTACAATTCAAAGAAATTCATAGATATGAAAGTGTGAAAGAGCACCAACTCCTATTCCAATAATGTTTTAATTTTCTGTCTACAATTCAAAGTAATCTTCGTGATTCAATTTTCAATAAACAACTTGGCGTTATATTGCAGTTTGCACAAGCATATTCCAGGGGAGCAGTAAAATATGGATTTTCCATTGTATTTATTTACTTGCAGGATCACATTAAGTCAGAATATATATGTGCATGTGCCAAATAGGGATACGAGACGCAATTATCTTGAGCCACTTACAATATAAATCAGATGAACTTTTCTTATCTTTCAGGTCTTAAAAACTTGGAACAAAATTTAATCTCATTCTCGGTTTTTTTTTGTGTTTTTTTTTTTTACTTTGTTTGGTTCCTGCTTTTGTTATTGCAAGTCACATAAATTCTGTAAGTGTCATACTATAATCGTGACTTTAACAGATTCTGTATTTAATTCATAACTAGGCAATTCTTGTCTCAAGTGTTGATTTGAAAACATTCTAAAATAAATAATAAGAGAAACTTAACATTTGGAAAGATGGAATATCAATGTTTGACTAGACTATGAATGTTTGACTAGATTCAACAATAAATTACAGTGAAACCCGTTGTAAGGACCACACATCAGCAACCTGTAATATCTATTCTAACTTTATATACTTGTAGGAAATTTTTTTTATTTTCGTATTTGACCAATTACTTTTTTAGTTTTAACTCAAAAGTCTTAAAGATCATGGTGACTTCACTGCTTTACCTGGATTGCCCACTCCATGCATTATTTCTGGTTCATGTGGGCACCGGAGTACCACAAATTATCTTGTTAGCTTTCTAATCTTAAGTTCCTGTCAAGTGGAATACAAACATACAGTTGTGAGAGGGAAGTGCTCTGAAGTCAGCACCCTAGTTGGCCTCAATATATAGGTTCGACAGTAACACATTTATCACACCAAGTAAACACAGGTTTCTTATCTGTTGCGCCCTTTAACATTTATCTATTTCAATATTAACAGGAAATTATATAATACTTTTAAAAGTGACTGATGTGGCAAAATAAAGAAGTCCCTTAAACTGAGCAGGACTTTTATTCAAGAAGAATATTACAACTTAACTGGTAGTTTTGTCAAATAAGATAAAAACCATACAGGTTATAATGAAAATATAACAAATTGAAAAACAAAACAAAATGAAAAGGTCAGTAAATAAGAAGTACTTAAATATTTAAAAAAAAAATTTTTATCCCAAAAACCATGCATTGTATAAAATTCTAGCACACATTATTCCCATTCATACAGATAGGACTGTCAAGTGCATTATAACATGATATATACATGGCATAAAAAAAAGAATGATTACACCTCTATATCAAATGATGTTGGGTAAGTTACTTCTACTCTCAATGAAGTTCAACATATTGTTATCAAATTCTCTTTTTCATAAATTTTACATGTTAGAATGGAAATAATTATTCAATTTCTTGCTTTGTAGCATAATAATGCATGGTTTGTTCAAGCCAGTATAAGCCTTCGTAATTACATTCTTGAGCGTTGGAACTCAAAACTAGCACTCAAAGTTGATAACTATTTTCTTAAAATTTTTCCTGTTTTAAATTCTGAATTAAGTTGGGAAAGTTTTGATGATATAAACAAGATAACTATCATGAGGTAGACATTGAAATTAGTAAAAAGTTATCAATCACATGCCTGAAATTTGATAATGACTGTAAAAATCAATGTATATAGTCTACACAGATAGTCCACACTCCACAATGTATCTGATTACGTTATGTAAAATTGAAAATATTAAATGTTTACAAATCTGTTTCGTTTACTAAATGTATAAAATAAATTATACATGTTACCCATAAACATCCTTTAACCCTTAACCTGTTTAATTAGTATTATATATCTGCCCAATTTTGAATAAGGTATTATATTATTAAAGGGATAGGCATAAATATAAAGGGAAAGGCACAAAATTTAAGGGATTCTTAATAACAACATACTAACGATGACTAGCCAATTAACAGTATAGAGCCTTAAGTCAGACTGCCTGGAAGTTCAGGCTAGCCTAACTATATTGAAAATACTCAGCTGGCAAAGGCTAGGTACCAGGAAGTTACAGCCTAACAGGTACCTTTATTACTTATAAAATACTCAATATTTCCATATACACACAAAAACAGTCAAGTTTTAATAATTAGACACTGTAGAAAATATTGAAATGACAATTTAATTCCTAAGTATTCTGTACTTTTACAAAAAAAATCATAAAACTACAATACAAAATGTTACAGCTAATCAAGGAATAGAATATACGAAATGTTAAAATAATATTCAATGTAAATAAATTGTTTTAAAGTAATTTTATATCAATGTTTTGATCAAACTTATAAACTTTAATACCATTAGAATTAACCACCTACCAGTGTTTCTTTTACATAAATCCAGTGCAAATGCCTGCTCAGGCATCTTTCCTCCATATATAACACACACACACTGTTTATTAATCAATTTACAGTTTAAGGCTTTTCTTATTTCAATCTATACAATTGTGAGATAAAAACTCGACCTCAATTCTCGCACAGTTTTGTGTGGGGTACTTGCTGTGCGTGTTCTCTTTTATAAATGTGTCCGATATAATAAATGAGATCAAACGTAAATCCAGCACTCTATTTTTTGCATAATGTTATGAAGAAAGTCCTGCATGACTGCATTATTGTAGAAAGTTACTTCATTTTTACACAAGTAGCCGATTTCCACATGAACTAATTGGTTTAAGTTTCAAAACTATATAAAAAACGTCTATAAAAATAGCAGTGCATGAAATAAAGCCGGAAAAAAAAATATATTGCTGAAATTTTTTTTAATCAAGTCAGCATTTCAAGGGTAGACTATTTATAGAATAAAAAAAAGATCACTTTGTAAAAAGTGCATGCTATTAAATTGTAAATGTTTAGTGTAATTTTAGAATAAAAGAAACAAAATAAATATTTTATCATTCAATGGCTCAGAGATCTTAAAGACTCCGTGCATGATGCTTAAACTCCACCAGAAATTTCTTGCACATTATCAACTATAAATTCTAATTCTTTGGTCATTATTTTAAGTATAATTATCACAAAAATAAGTGAAAATATTAAAGAAGATGAAGTATGTTGAAATTAATCATGACTTAATACAATGTACTTTAATAGGACATAAGCAGGGTTTAAGACATCAGTTATAATCAGGGTTCGAACCCACTGAATTAATATTCAAGGTTTCCATTAGTCAGCATGTGCATATAAAAGCAATTCCCCCTGTAGCATCCATAGTTTAAGTCTCGCACAAAAAGTTAAATTTTAAAAATCTATACAAAATACTGTACTTAAACAGTTCCAAATCAATAAAGTCACTGCCAAGCTGCGTAAAAAGCCTGCCCAACTGTTTGAGAGGCATGAAATTGCGCATTAAGTTTGCACTACTTTATAAAATTAATAACCTTTCCTTTTAACATAGTATTTATATCATACGATATTGTCTTTCAAGAGTTCTTTAAATATAGTAATTTTATATACTGTTTTATCTTTCAAAAATAACTTCCTCATGGGAAAAAATATATATTACGTCAGTACATTTAGTTCATTATAAACATTTTTAACTCAGAAATATATTTCTATTTTTTTTGTCTATAGTTGGCTAAAAATATATCAAGACAAGACAGTCTACGCAAAAAAACAACAACAAAAAAAACCCAACAATTAACTGTATTAATCTTGGAAAAGTGTATGGTGCAAAATAAGAAGGATCTCCAAGATATATGGTATAATGCAGATTTTGAATTTATCTTTTACCACTTTCCAAAATGAACAAGCAAACAAGGAGTCCATAAGCCAGGGCCACATTCACCTATCCAACACAGTTATAATCTTTCAACCTACTTTTATCGTACACCCCTATCAAACATGCACTACATTTGGATATTTGATAAGCACACCCAGTTTTACAGGTGCATTGAAAGTATGCACACTGTACCTTACTACCTTACCAACAAAAAGTATCCTAGGTTTCCATGAAAACGGTAACCTACAGCAATATAAAAGTCAATGTTACTTTCATGAAAACTAAAACGCAATATATCTGTAACAAAACAGCCCAACGCGCATTTCAACTCAAACTATAAACCTAGTTTGAAATTGAACCCTAATTTTGTACATTTGATAACACTATCTTTCAATGTGCGTGCATAAAATTAAAACAAGAATTTCAATGCGTACTCCTGTCCTATTTTCAATCCTTCAAAACAAACAAGCTGCATGTTTTGTTTCCAATTTAATATAAAGTCCTGATCTAGAAAACATGATTTGCATTTTTCACATGAAAAACAAAAAAAATAGATTCTTAAACATATGGTAATGTTCACACAGAGTTAGTGGTAAGCTGTGTCACAGTAGTATAACTATCTTTCCTTTCTATCACTTTAAAATTTGATAAGAAATTGTTGACAATATTGAAATAAAAATCATGGTGAAATCTAATACGCACCTTTAAATACAGTATTTAAGTTAGACTTTACTTAGTCATTTAGTCTACTGGTATTTCTTTTTTAGATACAATTGTAGCTTCCTAGTCCACACTGCAATTTTAAATATATTTTCACTACATATCCGATATCTTATTTAGATGAATTAATTAACCCTAATATCATGTTGATTTTCTCAAATGGATTTGTCCAGTTTTCATTTTTAGGATTGTCTATTATCAATTCGGAATACCAAGATAGAATTTCAAAGTAATTCAGTCAAGTTTGCTGTGCCTAAGGTTGTTTTTTTTCTAGAAAAAAAATGCACTCAGTTTGAAAATGCTTTAAAGATTATAAATTTTTTTTTTATAAAAACTCTACATATGCAAAAACTGCATTGAAAAAATGATGTGGACAAACATGTAACCTTTAATTACTTAAACTGCTTTGATTACATGGATGATAAACTTCATGAACAGCCCCTAAATTACTTAAACTGCTTTGATCACATGGACAATTCACCTCATGAACAGCTCTTTAATTACTTAAACTGCTTCGATTACATACATGATAAACCTCATGAACAGCCCTTTAATTACTTAAACTGCTTCCATTACATACATGATAAACCTCATGAACAGCCCTTTAATTACTTAAACTGCTTCGATTACATACATGATAAACCTCATGAACAGCCCTTAAATTACTTAAACTGCTTCCATTACATACAGCTAAGGCTCCCACGTTTACAATTTTTTGTAAACGTTTACACGACTGCTAAGAACCGAAACGATACCGTTTAAAAGGTGGTACCTCTATGTACTATACACACCATGTATTTGAGTCGCCAAATGATGTCTTTCTTCCTATTTTTAATACATGTACAAATAAAGAATGTGCAAGGCTCATCACGATTGAGTCAGCACACATTTTTTGCATTGTAACCCCATTTTTTACCAAAAATGTATTATGTCACGAGCAATTTTGCACGGTAATGCTGTGTGGAGGGTTGTAAACACCCATTTTCCGTTTGTTTACTTTGGAATAAACCACTAGAATTGATAAAATCATGATTACAGGCAATGATTAAGAAATTTTGTAAGACAATATGGTCATTTCCATTAAACGGTAAACAATATCGTAAACGTTTATGAATGAAAATCGAAACGAATCCGTTTAAACGTGTAATCGTGGGGGCCTTACATACAGTCATGATAAACCTCATGAACAGCCCTTTAATTACTTAAACTGCTTCGATTACATACATGATAAACCTCATGAACAGCTCTTTAATTACTTAAACTGCTTCAATTACATACATGATAAACCTCATGAACAGCCCTTAAATTACTTAAACTGCTTTGATTACATACATGATAAAACACATGAACAACCCTTAACTTACTGGAACTCCTTTGATTACATGTACGATAACCCTCATGAACAGTGTTTGTATTTCTACATGCTAAAACTTCATCAATTATAGTACATCTATATGAACAATTCAACCTCATGAACATCCCTGCAATACATGTATGTTAAATTCTACATTATTTATAATAATGACCACAGGTGAAACTTGTACTGTCTAATCTAATTTCAATTACTTGCTTTATTAAAAGACGGAAACCATACATGCTGCTAAATCTGTAAGTCACTATGTTCAATATCTTTAAAGATTTAATTGTCTGCTGAATTCCATTACCCATGTTCTAAATTACAAGCAAAAACATTACATCTTGCCTTGCAGACTCAATTTAAATTGATCTTCTCTTTCCTCATTCAAACTTAATGTCTGTAACATCAGAAAGCAGTGAAATCATACAGAGATCATTTCAACAGCTAAAATAGGCTTTTAATAGCTATACTTATACAGAAGACATACCAACTCGTTTTTGTCCTTAATTCATTGCTAAGGTAACTAAAGCAATTATAATCTGCAAAATCTAGCAAAAAAAAACGAAATCTTATATAATGAAGTACAGAACAATTAATCAGGAATAAATAAGGAATGAATGTTCAACGCATACAGACACAAAACTTTGGGCTTGAGAATAATCTTAACATGTAAAATTATGTTGCACATTATCTCAGATATAAGACATTATATCTACGATCTTTTACAACAATATTAACATTTTTTTTTTATTTTCTTGTTATTATAATTTATAAAATCACCTTCCAAATTTTAAGAGTTTTGTAACTATGGTCCACTTTTCTCAGAGCTGGAGAATATTATACAAGAGCGATCAGTAATCACATGTGTCGCCTCATGATGGCCAATTTCATGTTGGGACAAATTTTGTGACAGACGGACAGACAGACGGACAGTGCACAACTAGACTAACCACTTTGTACTGATCATTCCTGTAAAGTTTGGATAAAATTGCACCAGTAGTTTATGAGGAGTAGTCTGGACAAGCTTTTGCGTATCTGGCAACACACAGAAAAAAACACCTTTTTATCAAAGGGCCATAACTCGGCCAAAAATCATTCAACCGGAAAACCCGTGCAATATGCGCAAGGACTTGAGCTACAGATCAATCCTGTAAAGTTTCAATGAAATTGCATAAGTGGTATAAGAGAAGTAGTCTGGACAAACTTTAAAAATAAAATTTTTTAAAGGGCCATAACTCAAACAAAAATCATTGAACCGGAAAATGCTGACAATATGCACAACTAGACTTGGTACTGATCATTCGTGTAAAGTTTGGATGAAATTGCACCAGTAGTTTATGAGGAGTAGTCCGGACAAGCTTTTGTGTATCTGGCAACACACAGAAAAAGAAACCTTTTTATCAAAGGGCCATAACTCGGCCAAAAATCATTCAACCGGAAAACCCGTGCAATATGCGCAAGGACTTGAGCTACAGATCAATCCTGTAAAGTTTCATTGAAATTGCATTAGTGGTATAAGAGAAGTAGTCCGGACAAACTTTAAAATTAAAAATTATTAAAGGGCCATAACTCTGACAAAAATCATTGAACCGGAAAATCCTGACAATATGCACAACTAGACTTTGTACTGATCATTCCTGTAAAGTTTGGATGAAATTGCACCAGTAGTTTATGAGGAGTAGTCCGGACAAGTTTTGTGACGGACGGACGGACAGACGGACAGACAGACAGACAGACAGACGGACAGACGGACAGACGGACAGACAGACGACGGAGAAGTGATCCCTATATGTCGCCACTACTCCGTAGAGGCGACACAAAAATGTACTGTAGTAAAAAACGGGGGAATA